TGTATAGGGTTTGTATAATTTTGCCCTCTTAGTGCACGATGCCCAGAGTTACCCGGTGGTACGATGGGCAGCCAATACATTTAATAAATAAAAAATAAATAATAAAAGTCGCCCAAGTTAATAGCCAGCATCATGCTTTGTGATAATGAATTTATGTTAATGGCAATGTCAGGCAACGCCTCCTTTCCAAACATTCCACTAATCCCTGATCCTAATGTTTTGAGAATGAGAGAGGTTTCTCATTCTATAGGACGGGGGTGTCCAACCTTGGCAGCCTGAAGATCTGCGGACTTCAACTCCTAGAATTCCCCAGACAGCCATGCTGGCTAAGGAATTCTGAGAGTTGAAATCCACAAGTCTCAAAAGTTTCCAAGTTTGGACACCCCTGTTTTAGGCCATGCATGATTTTGGACAACTCAACCCTATCTTTTGCTTAAGTGAAAGGATCCCAAATATTTTGGCTTTTCTCATAAGAAAGGTGAAATCCTTCAATTATTTTGGTTGCTATTTCCACACTTTGTCCAGTGCTATTATATCTCTTATGGTGACCGGAACTGTCCGCATGAGACCAAATGCAGATGAACTCATAGATGTTGGCTTACAACCACAATTAGGACCAGAATTTCCATTGCTAAGCAAAGCAGTTGTTAAGAGTCATGTTTGATTTTATGACCTTGCTTGCTTCGTTGTTAAATGAATCGCTGTAGTTGTTATGTTAATCACACGGTCATTTAGCAAATAAGGCTTCCCACTTAACTTTTGCTTGTTGGAAGCTGCTGGGAAGATTGCAAATGGCAATCACATGATCCCAGGATACTGCAATCATCATACATACATGCCAGTTGCCCGGCACCCAAATTCTGATCTGATGATTATAGTCCTGTTGCAATGGTTGTATGTGTGAGGACTGGTCATAATTTATTTTTTTCAGTGCCGTTGTATCTTCAGATGGTCACTAAACAAATGGTTGTAAGTCGAGGATTATCTGCATACAAGCACACTACAATGTCACCAAGCTGTGTTTTCCTAATTAGGCCCAGCACTGAATTTGCCTTTTTCATATTTAGTACACACTGAGTTGACACATTAGTATAACTCTCCATTATGACCCTTGGTTATTTACAGTAGCTCATCCCCCATCACTACATTCATGAACTTAAATCCCAGTGTGCATCACTTTACATTTCCTTAAACCAGGGGTAGGCAACCTTGGCTCTTTTATGACTCATGGACTTCAACTCCCAGAATTCCTGAGCCAGTATGGCTCAGCTTGGAAACCTCTCCCTTTCCCCTCAGCATGGCTGGCTCAGGAATTCTGGGAGTTGAAGTCCACGAGTCATAAAAGAGCCGAGGTGGCCTACCCCTGCCTTAAACCATTGCCTGACCATTCACCCAATCCAGAGAGATATATCTGTCAAAATGAAAGTGTTTATCAGACTGAACAGCTTGCTGCCACCTGCAAACTTGATCAGCATACTGTTTATCCCTACCTCACAGTAATTTATTAATTTTAAAAACCTAGCTCCAACAGAGACTTTTCTCGCATTCTGCCTTTAAAGGAAAGATCCCATTTACCGCTGTTTTGCTCTTTGATTTTGAACTAGTTAGCAATCCATCAAAGCTACTATTCCACATCAATTAAAGTTTACTAAAGACCCTCTGATGAGAAATTTTGTCCAAAGATTTTTTGAAAATCCAAATATATAACATGGCCAGAGAGTGGCCAACTAACACTCTCAAAAACTTAAAAGGGTTGGCAAGCCAAGATTTAGCCTTGCAGAATCCATGCTGGCTATCTATCGTCAGGGCTTCTTCATCTAAGTCCTTAATTTTTTAAAAAAATTGTTTATCAAGCAATTAGACTACAATAACTTGCTCAGATTTAGCAGTGCTGCAGTTTCTGCAACAGCTCCTACTTTGCTTGGAGTCCAATACCAAGTAAAACTGTATATGGCTTAGCATCCAAGCATCTACTGGAAAGTTTATCCTGATGTATATACAGATAGTCCTCGTTTAGTGATCACAGTTGGGACCACCAATTTAGTTGTTGCTAAGTGAAATAGCACCTATGCTTATGATTCTACTTTAGAGTTCCTTTGTTTTGTAGACCCGTGAAGGTCGTAAAAGTGTGGACTTGAGTTGAGAAATTTGTCATCACTGCTGTAACTACAGTCGCTAAATGAGATGGTCACTAAATGACATAGTCACTAGATGAGGACTGCCTGTAAGGGTCTATAGGAATGCTCTTGAGAGACAGGAGGAATCGGTCAAGATTAGACAAGAGGCAGTTCAGCCCATAGAAGGAATGGGGGAGTGGCAAATGTCTTTAGAAGGGACCCTCCCTAGACTCTAAAGATGAGGGGGGACAAATGTACTTTCAGATTTACCAAACTTTACAATATTGTTATGGATGGTGGGGTGGATAGGCCGAGACTTGGTTTTAGCCCATAAGAACATTAAGGGAAGAAATATGGAAGATTTCCACTCCAGAGGAAATGAGGGGGCTGCCACAAAGAAGAGGGAGTCAAGCTGAGCAGGGGGTTGGACTAGATGACCTCCAAGGTCCCTTCCAAATTTATTATTATTATTACTACTACTACTATTATTATTATTACTATTACTATTATTATTCTCCAAAGCACCTCAAGGCAGGACAAGAAGCAATGGATGGAAACTAACCAAAGACAGAACAAGTGAGAACTAAGCAGAAACTTCCTGACAGTGAGAACAATTAACCAGTGGAACAACCTGCCTCCAGAAGCGGCAAATGCTCCAACACTGGAAGTTTTTAAGAAGAGACTGGACAGCCATTTATCTGAAATGGTATAGGGTTTCCTGCCTGAACAGTGGGTTGGACTAGATGACCTCCAAGGTCCCTTCCAACATTACTACTACTACTACTACTACTACTACTACTACTACTACTACTATTACTATTATTATAGGGGGAGGGGAATAGGAACCTGGCATCTTCTCAGTGTCTGCCACCCCCTCCCAAACATCTTCCTTTTTGAGACATTGGAATGGATGGCTCCAATATCCTGCATGTCAGAAAGATCTTAATACTTTCTGGATTCTGCAGAATACTTTCTGGGCTGCCTTAATTAGCTATATTGGATTGTTGAAGGTTTTGACTGCATCCTTCAATTCAATTCAATTCAATTTTACTTATGGCCAAAAGGCCCAAAAGACCTGCTGTCATTTTATTATATTTTAGTGTAACCCAGTGTTTTTCAACCTCAAATCCCTGAAATTTGAGTGTTGAAATCTATACAACACGACCAGGTAGATAAACCAAGAACCCACTCAATACAGGGATGAGAAAGTGGCAGTTTTCGTTTAAAACATTTGGTTAACTGTGGGTTAAACTATATTCTGCCTATTAGCCACACTGTGCAAAGGCCAAATTCAATAAATTCTGAGGTCATGCCAAAGCCCAGTCCAGTAAGTCCTCTAAGAAAAAGAGTTGGTGATATAAAGTGGCTGGGGAAAAAAAACAAGCAAGGATCTCCATTATAGAATTCACTATTGCACCTTGGACGTCATAGAAGAAGCTTTCCAAATGCTGGAACTTGTAATGAACAAGCCATTAACACACCGCAGTCTGCCTGGCCAATGGTGAAGGGATTTTGATGTAATCAAGTCTTGCTAGTGTTATCTTAGCACATCACTCAGGACTAGAAGAATTGAGTCGGGTGGACTCCATATTTCCAAAATGGTGGTTCAGACACTCTTACTGTGATTATAGCTGATTAGGCTGAACATGCGCAAATCCAGCCAGGAGTCTTTAGAGAAGAAATCTAGGTTAATATAGACAGACACGTCCTATACACGGGGCTTCAAGGGCACAGACAGCTAGTAAGATGTCCATCCCATTACTAGTGGATAACATATTTCATATTTTCATTCAAAATATTTTGGGGGACCCAGTTGGGAAAAAACCCTGCAAAAGATTTTACCAGTCAAGTTAGAGAACTAGATTAACAGAGAAAGGCAGCAGAACGGAGGCCCGTACCAAAAAAGTACATCCTCTGCCTTTATGCAGAAGGTCCTGGGTTCTGCTCTTGGCCTCTCCAATTAAAGGTGGCAGGGTAGGAAATGACCCTGCTGTGCAGTGAGACTTAAGGATAGCCCTGCAGATGTTTGGGACTACAGCTCCCATGATATCTTACTGCTGGTCATGCTAGTCAGAACTCATTTATTTATTATATCCCTCCTTTATTATTTTTATAAAGAACCATTTCGATAAACAAGGGGACAAGCCTACCAAATGCGCCTTCTTCTTCCTATTTTTTCCATAACAACAACCCTGTGAGGTGAGTTGGACTGAGATGAGAGAGAGTGAGTGGCCCAGATGGTTTTCATGGCTATAGCTGGCTCTCTCGTGGAAGTTGAAGTCCAAAACCTAAGGAGATAACTAGACCATCTATCCCAGACATGTCAAACTTGTGATGTCGCACGACATATCAGAGCTTTTTCCCCATTGCCGGCAATGGGGTGGGCGCAGTTTCGTTGTGACGTGTCCGACCTGTGGGCCGGCAGATTGACACCCCTGATCTATCCCAACCATTACCAGTATGAAGAACCATTATTCTGGATCAAGATCAGGTGTCTTCACATCAAGCCATGTTTTAGCCACACTTCCAGGAGACAAAGATACCTCTGGCTCTGTCCACCAGGTGGCACCAAGCCTCCATTTCCAGGTTGTGCCTCCCTTGTCAGAGTAACTTATAGGAGGGGTTCCCAATCTTGGCAACTTTAAGACGTGTGGACTTCAACTCCCAGAATCCCCTAGCCAACATGGCATGGCTGGCTGGCTGGGAAATTCTGGGAATTGACATCCACACATCTTAAAGTTGCCAAGATTGGGGAAACCTGCCTTGTACTACTTTTGCTGCACAAATTAAAGCTGTGATCTGACTCTCATTTAAGTTACTCACCCAAACACATTCCGACCCTAGGAAAGAAATAAACAGATCAATAAATCAAACACTAGTTACCTGCTGTTTGATGTACTGCTGTGCTTTCTCCCTGTTTGGAGGCTGGACTTGTACGTCACTCTGGATTGTGCCAATAGGGGTTGGCTGCAAAAGGGAGGAGAGAAATAGGCAAACAGTCAGCGTTTTCTCCACCAATTTAGACAATTGGACTTTAAAATGTGACCCATCTAGGGGTCTTTTAGGAGAACAAATGCTTCTCTCCCCAAGAAAAGAGAATCAAATGTCTTGAAATAGTCAGGTTGTTTGGTTATCCCAAGGGGTCTTCAAACGTGGCCCTTTTATGACTTGTGGACTTCAACTCCCAGAATTCCTCAGCCAGGCACGTGTGCCTGGCTGAGGAATTCTGGGAGTTGAAGTCCACAAGTCATAAAAGGGCCAAGTTTGAAGACCCCTGGGTTATCCTGTCTTTCTATAATCAAATGCCCAAGACAGCCAAAAGAAACCAACGGTCCAATACAGGTAGTCCTCAAATTACAGCTATTCACTGAGTGACGGTCTGAAGTTACAGCAGCACTGAAAAAAGTAACTTATCACCGTTTTTCACATTTACAACTGTTACAGCATCTGTAGGTCACATGATCAAAATTTGGACGCTTGGCAACCGGCATGTATTTATGACAATTGCACTGTCTGGGGGTCGGTGTGATCGACATTTGTAACCTTCTCATCCAGCTTCTGACAAGCAAAAGGGGAAGCCAGATTCGCCTGAAGACTGAACAATTCACTGAACAGCTGGAGTGATTCACTTAAGAACTGTGGCAAGGAAGGTTGTAAAATGGGGCAAAACTCACTTAACAACCGTCCTGCTTAGCAACAGAAAGTTTGGACTCAGTTGTGGGGATAAGTCAAGGACTGCCTGTTAATACAGAATAGTGGCCTTAATATTTGCTCCTTCCCTCCGAGAGGGGACAGTGTACAGGTAGTCCTTGACTTACAACTAGTTGCTTAGCGACCATTCAAAGTTATCACGGACCTAATTTGGGGCTACTTACAGCCGGGATTTGTAGTTCCTGCAGTTGTTCCGCCTAGCAACCACTTGACTGAACTTCGAATCCTCGGCAACACAGCGGCCATCTATGCCCGTTTGCAGCATCCCAAGGTCATGTGACTGTATTTTACAACAGTTTTACCAAAATCCAGCATTGACTTGGTTTTCGGCAAAACACACCCGTAGCAAACCACATTAACGACCACTGCATTTGTTTAACAAGTGCCCAGAGTCTCTTGACACTGAGATGGGCTACGTATACATTTCATGAATAAAATAAAGTTGAAAACCGTGGCATTCCCTTCATGACTGCTACATGACCGACCCATTTTACAATTGTCGCAACTTACAACCGTGATAAAGAGGCACCATTATGGTCATAAGTCAAGGACCATCTGGACAGCTGTACTCATAATTGAGAAGTTGCAAGAAGCACCAGGTTTCTTACTTTAGTAGGAAAAGTGCAACCTTGGCCATTAGTAAGACACTGTTCGTACTTACTTTCCAGATCATAAAGGTGATTCTCAAGAAGTGTTATAACAATCCACATAATATTTGACATCTTTCTTGACAATATTTGGGTGATGAATTGTTTGTGCTTATGTCATAGGAGTAGGCAACCTTGCTCTTTTATGACTCGTGGACTTCAACTCCCAGAATTCCTGAGCCAACATGGCTCAGCTTGGAAACCTCTCCCTTTCCCCTCAGCATGGCTGGCTCAGGAATTCTGGGAGTTGAAGTCCACGAGTCATAAAAGAGCCAAGGTTGCCTACCCGTCATAGCATCTCTGCTAACTTCCTCCATTGAACAAAAAGTGTGTGTGTGTGTGTGTGTGTGTGTGTGTGAGATTTATCTTTCTCCACCCAGAGACCTCCCTGGCTGCTACTTACTAAAGGTTTTCCAGCCCAGTCGTATTCATAATCAAAGACGTAGCCATTCCGGTCAAACAGATCAGTGAAAAGTTTCCGTAGATAGTCATAATCTGGCTTTTCAAAGAAGTCCAGACGTCGCACGTAGCGGAGATATGTGGCCATCTCCTCTGCAAAAGAAAAAGGGCACATCTGCTATTTAAAACTCAAACCAGGAGGAAAAAGGCAGGCGTCAAGCTCAACAAAATGAAAATGGCGGCAACCATGGAGACAGACAGGAGCTAAATTTATGTGACTGCCCTGTAGAAATCAGCAACTGGAAACACAAATAAGGGAGCTGAGTATGGTCTGGATTCTACCAAAACTACAGATTACAGAGAGTCCTCAACTTACGACCACAACAGAGCTCAAACTTTCTGTTGCTAAGCAAGATAGTTCTTAAAGTTTTGCTCCACTTTACAACCTTTCTCGCCACAGTTTTTAAGTGAATCACTGCAGTTATAATAATAATAATAAAGTTGGAAGGGACCTTGGAGGTCATCAAGTCCAACCCCCTGCTCAGGAAGGTAACCCTATACCATTTCAGACAAATGGCTCTCCAGTCTCTTCTTAAAAACTTCCAGTGTTGGAGCATTCACTGCTTCTGGAGGCAGGTTGTTCCACTGGTTAATTGTTCTAACTGTTAGGAAGTTTCTCCTTAGTTCTAGGTTGTTTCTCTCCTTGATTAGTTTCCACCTGTTGCTTCTCGTCCTGCCTTCAGGCTCTTTGGAAAATAGCTTGACTGCCTCTTCTTTGTGGCAACCCCTGAGATATTGGAACACTGCTATCATGTCCCCCCTCGTCCTTCTCTTCATTAAACTAGACATACCCAATTCCAGCAACCGTTCCTTATATGCTTGTTAAGTTAAGTTAAGTTAAGTTAAGTTAAGTTAAATTGTTAAGTTAGTAACACGGTTGTTAAGTGAATCTGAATTTCCGATTGATTTTGCTTGGCGGAAGGTCGCAAAAGGCGATCATATGACCATCAATACATGCCAGCTGCCGAGCATACAAATTTTAATCATGTGACTGGGTATGCTGCAACAATCATTAAGTGTGAAAAAAGGTCATAAATTGCTTTTTCCACTGCCATTGTAACTTCAGTCGTTAAACAAATGGTTATAACTCGAGGACTACCTGTACACTATCCTCACAAAGGATTCCCAGGAAGAGATGGGATACCTCTTACAAAACAAGGAAGGAGATTTGGGCAAGAGCCTTACCAATCTCATCAGGAGGGCATTCAACTACTAGAACAAAAGAGGGAGGGTGGCAAAACTCAAGACATATGCAGTTGTGGACTGGGCCCAAGAAAACTGGAAGATCATCAGGATGGGGACTCAGTTTTGCAAGAAATTGCAACAGAGGTGCCAGTGGATGGTACCCAAAACTTCAGCTGCTTCTATTATACTTGTGCAGTGTTTGGGACAGGAAAAAAAATGGAGAAATAGAGTTGTGGACTCAGGAAGCCAAGTATGATGGTGGGATGATATTTATGATTGGCACACAATGCTGGAAAGTCACAATCTACTCAAAAGGAGCAGACCCAAGGAAAAAAAAAGGGTGGGGATGTAAATGGAAATCCTGCTGGAAGTATCTCGGAGAGAATACTGTCAAAGAAGCAAGAAATAAACTTGGGATCACTGCGATAATTTATTACAGACCACCTGGACAGGCAGAAGATACGGGTGAGATCTTTCTGCATCAATTTTCTTTTTCCAAAAAGGCATGCAATCGTGACCGTCCTTCTGGGAATCGAACTTTGCCAAGAGTCAAGAGGTCTAGCAAAGTCCTGTCCCCTCTTATCGTCAGCTTTATTTCTCAAAAGAAAGAAGAAAGATGAAGGCAAACCTAATTCTCATCTAATCTTGGATCTAATCCTCACCAACAAAAAGGAATTAGTTGGAAGAATTTAAGGTGATTGGTACCTTGGTGCACAAGGATCATGTTATCTGTGAATTTTTAAGAGGAGGAGGAGGAGGAGGAGGAGGAGGAGGAGGAGGAGAAGGAGAAGGNAGGAGGAGGAGGAGGAGGAGGAGGAGGAGGAGGAGGAGGAGGAACTGAATAGAGTCAGACCTCCTGTCAGGCTTCAGAAAAGCTGATCTGATAACTTCAAGGGAAAGTGGGTCAGATCCAAAGGCTATAAATCTTGAGGGAGAAAAGTGTCCAAGAAGGACAAGGGAAATTCTATTAAATGAAATGATTTGATGGTGTTGACACTTTTGCCCAGGAGGGTAATGTCTCCAACTTCCAACTCTGCTACAACTGAGGCATCCATCTTGTTGCTGGCCATCCTATTCTCTTTCTTCTCTATCATATACAGACAGTCCTCAATTTACAGCAGTTCATTTAGTGACCATTCAAAGTTACAACAGCACTGAAAAAGTGACTTATGACTGTGTTTTCACAGTTACAATCTTTGAGGCATCCCCATGTTCACGTGATCAAAATTCAGATGCTTGGCCACTAGTTCATACTTATCACTGTGGCTGTGTCCCAAAGTCGCGTGATCCCCTTTTGCAACCTTCTGACAAGCAAAGTCAATGGGGAAGCCAGATTCACTTCACAACCAGGTTACTAACTTATCAACTGCAGTAATTCCTTTAACAACGGTGTCAAGAAAGGTCGTAAAATGGAGCAAAACTCACTTAACCAATGTCTCACTTAACAACATAAATTTTGGGCTCAACTGTGGTCAAGGACTACCTGTAAGGTGTCCAAAATAATTATAATCTGAGCCTGATCATTTGTGCGGTTGAGAACTCTTAGGTTGATGATCCATTTGCTTTTTTTTCTTGGCTACAAAAGGAGATGCTGAATGTGTTATCACAAACAACATAAGGAAAAATGAAACGGACAAATGCAGAATTCTCTAAAATGCTGAAGAGAAAAAAAAGGGACATAATTAAAAGTTGAACACAACAAATTAAGAGTACAAAGAGAAGTTAAAATGAACTGAGGTTTTCAAGATACCAAAAACAGCCCCAAATGTGATTTAAAAAAAGGAGGGCCAAAAAGAGCGAAAGGTCAGTTCTGAGGAGAAAGTGATGGAGTGATGTTGTGCTTTGGTGAGAAGGCAGAATTTCATGAATGAAGGCGAATATATGTGTCTCAGGATAACCTGGGTCGGTCACCGAGACCAAGGGTTTAGTCTTCCAAGCTTTTGGACATGTGCTGGAGCCCATCCTCAGGGAATTTCTCTCTCCAGAATGTATGCCTTGGGCCAGTGATGGCGAACCTTTTAGAGACCGAGTGCCCAAACTGCAACCCAAAACCCACTTATGCATCGTTGGGTGCCGGGTGGGTGTGGCCCATTGGCTGGGTGTGGCCCATTGGGTGGGCGTGGCTGTGGTGGTAACGGCACACTGGGTGGGACTAAAAAGTTCAATCAATCAATTCCAAATTTGCAAGATCTTTTTTTTCCCCACGAGAAGTTGAAATTGACTGATTGAACCTTTTTTTTTTTTTTTTTGCACACGGCGGCAGAGGCCTAAAGCGAAAAGGTTTTATAAAACCCAGCTGAAGGCCTAGGACTGGGGCGACAGCGCGCGTGCCCACAGAGAGGGCTCTGAGTGCCACCTCTGGCACCCGTGCCATAGGTTTGCCACCATTGCCTTGGGCTATTATTCTCCAAAGCACCTGAAGGCAGGACAAGAAGCAATGGATGGAAACTAATCAAGGAGAGAAGCAACCTAGAACTAAGGAGAAACTTCCTGACAGTTAGAACAATTAACCAGTGGAACAACCTGCCTCCAGAAGCGGTGAATGCTCCAACACTGGAAGTTTTTAAGAAGAGACTGGACAGCCATTTGTCTGAAATGGTGTAGGGTTTCCTGCCTGAGCAGGGGGTTGGACTAGATG